TGGGAAATGATGATCCTGCTGCTGCTGGTGATCCTGCTCCTCGTGTTGCTGCTGCTGCTCCTCGCTCTTGACCGAATCAAGTGACTGTTGGCGATCGAACGCCGCCGCCACGCCGCCGCTGGCGGCATCGGCTGCTCCTCCACAGTCGAGGATGTCCGCCGCAGCCGGCGGTATCACGAGCATGTCGTCGCCGGGGAAACCCGCGGTACCCCCGCCGCTGCCAGCTGCATGGTGGACAATGTACGGCATGTCGGCGCAGTAAGACGCGCGGTGCATGGCGTCATCGTCGGGCGGGGCCGCCGGCTTGGGCTGCTCGGGCTGTACGACGTGGGTGCTGGACATGTTCCAGCTCTGCGACAGCTGAAAGGTGGTGGCGAGGTTTGGCGGTGGCTGCGCCGAGGATGGGATCCTGGAGCCCGAGCTGAAGCAGTCGCTGGAGGATCTCTGGAGCTTGTGGTTTTGTCCCGTCACCCTGATCAATCACAAGAATCAGCAAAGAACTTGTATTGACCATGAATTTACCATGGAAGGCCTTGTTGGAGGACAAGTTGGCGGGCATGTAGCAGCTGCTCGCGTTCCCTCTCTAAAGAATACGAACCAAGATCAAAGTTAGCCCCAGTTAGGCAGAGATTCAATCCCGAGAAATTGGTTAACATGCCTTGGCGATGGCGATTCATGTGGCCTCCCAGCGCTTGCGACTTCGCAAACTTCATCGGGCAGAAGCGGCACTCATACGGCTTGAGAGCCGCCTCGTCCTCGCTCGAATCCGACTTGCGCTTCCTCTTCCCTGGATCAAATCGATCAATCCACAAATCAATCTTCTTCTTCCCAGAGATTCACACAAGAACTAGAGACAACCTCTAGATTTTTCTTTGTTTTTCTTCTTGGAAGGAATGTTAGTGGAATTTGGAGGAGGAACTGACCAGATATTTCACTCCCGGCAGTGCTGCTATTAGAAATCTCCTGCGCCGGAGGAACGCCCAGTTTCCACTGCGAGGAGGCCTCCTGGACCTCGCTAGAAACATGCACCACGCTCGCCCGCTTAAACAAATCCGGCGGCACAAACCCCCCGCCACCCTGCTGATCGCCACTCTCGCCTTGAAACTCGGTCGCCTCCCTCGCTCGTTTGATCTCGGCCATGACGAGACGAAAGAGACGAAGAAGAACAAGAAGAAGAAGAAAATCGAAGAAAGAAGAAATCTCCGCCCGCTTCTACCAGTGGAGTGAATCATCTCGGCTTCCAGGGCAGGGCGATGCGTTGATGGATCGATCTTGTTGCGCGCGCGATGAATCAAAACTCCTCCTCCCAAGAACCCAGTGCCCAGCAATCTTCATCTACACTCATTCCTCTGTGTGTTGCCAGCCCGCCAGGAGCTCACTCTCATTCCAATCAATCCAATCAATCAATCAAATCAATCCAGAGCTCCGAGAGACAGGAAGACCGAGAGACGCAACCGAGAAAGAAAAGAGAAAAATTTCTCTGGTTTTTCTTTCCTCCTCCTCTTGTTTTTTTTTTTTACTGCCACCAACAAAAATCCCTGCGGTCCGACACCCTTCGATCCGCCTCTTGGAGGGCACAAAGGAGAGCGCATGCCTACAGCCTCCGCCACGTGGCACGCGTAGTATCGCCATTGGGCGCTACGCATGCTCGGTGCCCAAACTTAGGGCTCTTGGGGGGCTGGGCGGGGATTAGGGTTTCTCGCCCACGAGATGGACACTCCCAGGGTCAAGATGTGGACGTGGATCGCCACCGGGGTCATGGCCGTCGTTGTGCTGAGCGAGAACTATGGAGACGAGCCGCATGCCTTGTCCGGGGTAAGCAGCGACTGCGAGCTTCTTCTTTGCCACTTTCTTTGCTGCCGATGATGGTTTCTTCCGGATTTTTCTCTGCCCCTCCAGATCCAAAACTCGATCCGGAAGTTCAAGCGCTGGGTTTTCACTCCCAGCTCCAAGGAAGTGGACGAGCTCCAGACGAGATATAGATTGCGGCTGGATATCAAAGACAAAGTAGATCGTGAATGAAGAGCATGAGGGAGAGAGTGAAGTAGAAAGTTTCTTACTTCTCGTTCACGCAGAATATAAGAGGCTTATCTCGGCCACAGGTCTCCCATCTCGGCTTCGCTCGCCAGTGAGTACATTGCGATGTTGTCTTTGGTGACTTTGATGTCTTCCAAGCTCGCGTCGGTGGCGTTTCTTCCCGTAGGAACGCAGACCGGGACCGTGATTCCATTGCCCAGCTTTGTGGGAGGCCTCACGATTCTCATCCATCCGCCTTGGAGATTTGCCACCTTGTCGTCCTGTGATGGTTCTGATCAAGGCAAGGTGTGAGTGAGAGGAGAGAAGAAGCACTGTGAGCTGGGTTACGCACCTACAACAGGAGCTCCTTCTTTGTATCTATCCAGAGGCCAAGCTCCCCTGAAAAAAAAAGGCTTTTTTAGAATCGCAAGCAAAGAGTCGCAATGTGTACCATTTTCTGAAGCCTCGACGCATCACAACGAACGAGAATGACACCTTGTCAAGCTTTTTGGCCTGGCAAAGAAAAGCTGGAGAAATGAGAACAGAGAAAATGAGATAAAGAGTACCTCCTGTGCTTGGATAGCTTGGATGAGGCCGCAAATCCCTCCATTCACATTCCTACTCATCGGGCAAGTACCGTCATGAGCGCACTGAAAAAGGAGCGAATGAGTTTCTTGGATTGGTCGGTCACTGGTTGCTTACCGGCGCGACGACATGCGCACCGAGATCGCTGTGAGCTTTGGGGTCCGACGCCGGCAAGTATAGGCCTCTATACTGACCTCGCACTCTCTGTAAAGTGCGACTAACATGAGTTTGATCGTGATCCAGATTGCTTTACGTACGTGGTTCTCGGTTGTCATGACGCGGTCGCGCAACCTTCGCACAAGTGCGGATCCATGCAAGGTCCCCGGCTCGATGATCACCTGGCCAGAGACAGATTAGTGCGAGTGTCAACAGCTGTCCACACATTTTACCAGCATGTTGTGAGTAAGTGTCCACAGATAATTTACCACGGCCATCCTATGAGCCATCGAAGGCACCTCGTTCATAGCAAATGACTGCAGTTATCAGAAATTTACATTTTCAGTGAGCGAAACTTGACGCAAAAGAACGACTTACGCATATGACAAGGTCGTTCGTCTTCTCGTCCCTCCTTGGACTCCGTCCTGCATTTGGGAGGACAGTTCGATATTTCAGCAGCGGCATGGTTTCGACCCCTGCTTGGAAAGAATTCAGAGAGAGCTTTCAGTGGTTGCTGGGAGCTTACTGCAATACCTTCGGCAAGAGATTTACATACACTTGTCATAGCTGCAGAAGTTTCAATGAGAAAAGCTGTCTTCGTCTGTTCCGGCCATAACTCTCGAATTGCCCTGAAAGAGAAAGCAAAATATTTTCATTGAGCAAAAGAAACGGAAACCAAAGTCTTACCAGAGGCTCGTTCCAGGTCCACTCCCGAAATCAAGAACCTGCCGAGGTCGAAAGTCTGGAATTCGTCGTTTCACCTGGACATTCAATGAGCTTAAAGCCAGCAAGTCGGCAAACTACCTCCGAAAGCACACGATAAAGTGCGGCATAAGTCGATGGCATGCTTCTTGCGGCAAAGGCAACTGCATCATCCATAAGATACTTGACAGGGCCTTGCTCCGTTGCCAGAATCCAGGACTTGACTTTCTCTTTCTGTGCACCGGGGTTGAGAGTTCTTAGCTGCCTCGAGCAAGCCAGCTCCTCGTCGGCCCAGAACGACTTGACAGCCTCCATGCGAGTGATCGACTTGTCTAGATCAACCTCCGGATGTTCTGCGCAGACATACCATCATTCTTCCAATCCGCTTCCAAGAACAACTCACTCACATCATACAAACCTCGCAAGAGTTTCTCGACTTGGGACTGCAGCAGATCAGGAATGCGGACTGGTGGTACCCTTTGAAATGCTGCCGCTGCCAGCGCGCGCTTCTTGAGTATCAGATCGGCCTTGCTGGTGCTGGCCATTGTTGTCAAACTCTGAGCTCCAAAACCCTAAACCCTTCCCGTGAAAATCTTGGAGGAGCCATCTAAAGAAGTCTGTAGATCATTTTCCCTGCAATATCTAGAACCATTTTTCCCGCAAACCATTTTCCTGTAGTTTGATCTAAAACCGATATCCAGAACTGTTGTTGGAAGAAGAAACCATCCGTGATTCACCGAAGCCCGAGTAATCTAGTCCTGAGAACCATTTTCCCTGTTGTATTGCAAACCATTTCCCCGTGGCCTGTGGTTCGATCTAAAACCGATATCCAGAAACCTGTTGCTGGAAGAAGTTTACCATCCAAGCCCAAGAACAGCTTCTCAATGTATCTGTAAGCAGCACGTAGGTTGTTTGCAAGTGCAAGCCGGCCGGGTAGAAGTTCGTGGAGCTCCCGAGAACCTCTGCCAAAAATCCCTCTCTTTGATCACCACGGCCTTCTCGAGCTCTAGCCTCTTGATCGTCTGGTTTGCGGCATCCAGTTGGTCCCGGAGGTCTGACTTGTGGCCATTGAGCAAATTCTCCTTGTCTATGCCTTCCTGCTTGAGCTTCTCGTAGGCCACCTCCAGCTTATTTAGATACTCCATAAGCTCCGTGGATTTCCTCTCGTATCCGGCTATCACCTCGTCCTTCTTGTCGTCCCTGCGGTGCAAACCATGTGAGAAATCTCGATATTTCGATCGATCGCAGCTAAAATCTCATGTATTTCATTCAAAACCAGCTAGATCTCTCGTCGAGGCTCGACATTTCATCGACCGCGGCTAGAATGACATGAACTTCTCGGAGAAATCTACGAATTGCAGCTAGATTGCTAGATCCCATACGAAATCTCCTCAAAGATCTCTTTATAGAATCACTTACATAGTGTGGTGCTTGGCCGGCGCTGCCTGGCTCCTTGCGGCGCTCCGAGCGCTCTGTCCACTCTAGGGCAAAGTTTTCCCACCCAAATGAAGGGGCACGAGCGCGGCCACGTGGACGGTCGGATTTGCTCTAGGGATCCGACGGCTGGACAGCACAAGGTCTGGGAGCTCAATCAATGGCGCGGCCTGGACGGGAATCTGGAGGAACTCTCAAGGTGAGTGTGCTGATCGATGGATCTATCGCGAGATCGAGCGCGCAGCAATCCGCTCGATCCATTCTCCGGCGCTAGGGCATTGAGCTTCGATGCGTGACTGAGATCATGCTTGTTTTCTTGGTGTTTCTAGACGCTGGAAAAGTTGGAGAAGAATGTTCGCGATGGAAAGTTCTATGAGGCCCAGCAGATGTACAAAACAATCTTTGCGAGGTGAGAAACTCTAGAGTTTGTCGATGTTTGCGTCGTTGAAACCGGTGATTTTCTAGATACATGGCTTCGAAGAAACACACCGAAGCATTGGATTTGCTGCAATCTGGAGCTTCAATCCAGCTCCGACACGGTCAGGTTTGTGTTCTCTCTTTCCTTTGGTCTGTTTCAGTTCTAAAGCTCATCTTACGAAAGGTGACTTGTGGAGTAGAACTTGGATTGTTGCTCGTCGAGGGAATGACGACGATCAAACTAGCGTATGGTCCGGAGGCTTTGGGTCAGTTCTTTCACTTCCATTCTCTCAAAGAGAAAAAAAAAAAACAAACTTGTGGCATTTCTTGCAGATAGAATTAAGGCCGTTTTCAAAGAGTTTCCAAGATCGCCAACGCTCGAGGCGCAATATTCTACGAAGACGCTAATCGAAGGCGTCTCGACCTTCATGAAGGTGGCGATCAGGTGCGTGCTAGAAGCCTTGTTTCTTTTTCCTTCTTTTTGGATACTGATGTACTGACTATCATAGATGGTCTTCAGAGTTTGGCGCTCCCAGCAGAGGCTCTCCTGAATTACACGAGTTGCTAGCCGATTTCCTTGCCAGAGAATCACCCCAACCTGTAAGTTTTGCTCTCCAGTTTTCTTTGCTTTCCATGTTTTCCTCAAATATGAAGAAACTTTGATATACCCAGGACCTTGCAAAAGCCTTTTACCATTATGTTCGTGGAAACAATCCTAGTGCCTTCGCATCGGCCATCATCAGCGGCATGCTGGAGGTAAGCTGTGGTTTCTTTCAAAACGTTTCAAACTCTTTTATGGTTCGCAGCCCGAGGAAGGTGATCTTCTTCTTGCGCGCGGGGTTTTCTTGTGAGCAGCAAGTTTTTGCTCTTTGATTCTTTCTGACGTTTTCTCTCTTCTCAGGTACTTGTCTATGGGAAACCTCAGGGACGCCAATAAGCTCTTCGATGAACTACATTCTCAGCTCAAGGACTCGTCACAAGCAAGCGTCTTGGCATCTCCTCTCACACATTTGGCGAAGTTTATCTTGCTAACGTAAGCTGTTCCTTGTAGGCAGTGACTGTGATTTAATTTGCGTTTTTCTCTCCAGTCTTGAGAGGGACGCACTCCCTTTGTTTAGGATGCTCCGTGAGAACTACAAGTCAAGTCTAGACCGGGATCCTTCTCTTAACGAGGTAAAGCTTCCTTTTTCTCCGAAAATGGTTAACGTTTTCTCGTAAAACAGCTCCTCGACGTTGTAGCGGAGAAGTTTTACAATGTCCGACAACGCCGGAATGGTTTGTTTGGAGATTTGATGAAGGTATATTCCAGCCTCCCACAAAGAAGAGAGAAAAAATGCATTCTCTGATGGTTGTTTTATCTGCATCCAGATGTTAACAGATGGAGGAGCTTAGGCCTATATATTTTCTCCCTGGAAAACTTTCATCAATTTAATCAAGTACGCTCATTAATACTTACGCGTATTTTTCTATTTGCTCATTTTCATTGGCTCGTTGTTTGAATCCCGGATCGCCAGCGTGGCAGGAAAAAGCGGGAAACTCGGGATCGCGGACGTGGCAATCTTCGTATATAATCGATCGAGCAGCGAACGTGCCCTACTGGAAAGATGAGTTCCATCGGAGGTCGCGGCAAGGCGCGGTCGGCGAAACCGGTCTCTCGCTCTCACAAGGCCGGATTGCAGTTTCCAGTGGGCAGGATCTCCAGATTTCTCAAGACCGGCAAGTATGCCGATCGCGTCGGGGCTGGAGCGCCAGTGTACATGGCCGCCGTGATGGAGTATCTCGCTGCGGAGGTGAGATTCTTTGCTCATCTCTTTTCCGTCGTCTCAATCTCTCAATCTCGGGATTTCGTCCCATTCCCAGGTGATCGAGCTCGCTGGAAACGCCGCGCGGGATAACAAGAAGAATCGGATCATCCCCAGGCACATCCAGCTCGCCGTGAGGAACGACGAGGAGCTCAGCAAATTGCTCGGCAATGTGGTGATCGCTAGCGGCGGCGTGCTGCCCAACATCAATCAATCGCTTCTTCCCAAGAAATCGAGCCTCAAGGACGCGATTGGAAGCCTCTCCCAGGAGTTTTGACCTAGACAGTGCTGTACAGAGCTATAGCAGATTATGGAATATGATCTTTACGGCTAGAATTCCAATCCAACCACCGGATGTTGATGTACCAATTTAGGGCCACCCGCAAGGAGTTATGGGGCGGAATGGCTAGGCGATGAGTCGTCCTTGTCCGTCCACACCGCAGCGTTAAGAAAGAGGCGCTTAGTTTTCTTTGTTTGAGCGGGTAAGAAAGAATGATGTGGGGAGTGTAGGTAGGGCGCGTGCTTCAGATTATCGCGATTCGATTTTGGTAGCTCCATCGCCCAGCGGCGCCTAGATTTCGATGCTCGGATCTACTGCGGCTCTAGGTTTTGGCTGGATCTAAGCGCCGTGCGATTCCGGAGCTGCGAGATTTCGATCGATCGGGGCTTCCGAGCCCGATGAGGTAGCGTCCATTGTTCTTTTCGCAGCAGCTTTGGAAATGGTGGAGATTAGCCCGCCGACGACTGGCCAGGTACGCTAGAATCTACTCATGGGAATGTAGATTGGATATATGAGTCCAAATTTTTTGTAGGTGGCTCTTGTCTTGGGATTCATCCCCGTGCTCACAGCATGGCTTTACTCGGAGTTTCTTGAGTATAGGAAGCAGCCAGTGCCAGGGAAAGCGTGAGTACGTCGATTTTGCTTTGATCGTCTCTAACAATTGTAAAGTTTCTTACAGTCACTCGGATATTAACCTCTCGGAGCTGGAGCATGGGCCAAGAAGAGACAATGAGAAAGACAGTCTTCTTGAGAATGGATTCTCCGTCAGTGGCACTCTGAAAGGCAGCTTTTCTATCAGAATGCAGTTGTTTAAGTGAGGCCTTTATTGTTTTCTTGCCGTGTTGTCGGTGCGCTGATTTTCTTATATCTTTTGTGGCAGATTTTTCACTCTCAACGAAACTTTTCTCGTTGAAAATCGTTCGCTGTTGAGAGCAATGTAAGGATCTTCTTTTATGATCACGAGTCACGAAAGTGTTTTTGCTCACGTCTTTATTTTCTTTATGAAACTGGCAGTGCAGAATTTGGATGTCTACTCTGCTATTTCTACATTTGTGACCGAACCAATGTATTTGGGGAGTTGAAGAAGGTAGGCCAATTGGCTTTACTGGTTTTTGTGCTGATGAATAGTTACTTCTTTCTTGCAGAATTACAGCAGAGACCTCTTCGTTTTCCTTTATTTTCTTTTAATTATCGTTTCTTCAATAACGTCTTTAAAGAAGCATGCGGAGAAGTCTGTTGCATCCGGAAAATCGATACTTTATTTAAACAGACATCAAACGGAGGAATGGAAAGGGTGGATGCAGGTGAATAGCACTTGATTTTTGGTGATGTGTTGATTTTCTTTTCTTTCGACAGGTTTTATTTTTGATGTACCATTATTTTGCGGCTGCTGAAATCTATAATGCTATACGACTCTTCATTGCGGGTTATGTCTGGATGACTGGATTCGGGAACTTTTCCTACTATTATGTGCGAAAGGATTTCAGCCTGGGTCGGTTTGCTCAGGTAACTGCTTCTTTGCACTCGTAAGTTCATGCTTTGTGAACGCACTTGCAGATGATGTGGAGGCTCAACTTTCTTGTCACCTTTTGCTGCATCGTCCTCAACAACAGCTACATGCTTTACTACATCTGTCCTATGCATACCCTCTTCACATTGATGGTTTATTGCTCGCTGGGAATCCTGAACAAGTATAACGAAGTTCCATCTGTCATTGGTGCGAAAATTGCCGCATGCTTTGCAGTTGTTATACTTGTGTGGGAGGTTCCAGGAGTATTTGATTTTGTATGGAGACCATTCACATTCCTTGTGGGTAAGCTTTCACCACTTGATTTTGGCATTTTATTCGTGTTTCTTTGCAGAGTATACGGATCCTGGCAAGCCCGATCTCCCAGTTCTACATGAGTGGCATTTTAGGTCCGGTCTTGACCGCTACATTTGGATATATGGGATGATTTGTGCGTACTTCCATCCGACGGTATGAGTTTCTGCGCTGTCTGATTCGACCGTAACTGAGGTCTATGCAGGTTGAAAGATGGCTTGAGAAACTAGAGGAGCTTGAGTGTCGGCGGAAATTCACCTACAAGTCGGTCATCGTGTTTGTTGCTTCACTGGTAAAACTTCGCCTCGTTGAAGAGTAGAACGAACGGTTGAATTGCAGGTTGGATATCTATGGTATGTCCACATTTACAGGTTAGACAAGTTGAGTTACAACAAGCTACATCCTTACACGTCGTGGATTCCCATAAGGTGCTAGTTCTCTCTTCTTTTTTTTCTTTTTTTCTGGTGCTTACATCAGGATGACAGCGTCTATATCGTTTTGAGAAATGTTTCTCAGCCCCTTCGGAACTGGTCCCTTACCTTATTTGCGTAAGTGAAATCTCTACTTCATTGCGCCGGATGATTATCTGCTGTCTTTTCGTTACAGGTGGCTTGGAAAGATCACTCTTGAAACTTATATTGCACAGTTCCACATCTGGCTGAGGTCAGTTTCCTTTTCTTTCAGCCAACCATTTACTAAATTCCTGTCCAATGTAATTAGGACGGGAGTTTCTAATGGACAGCCAAAGCTCCTCTTATCATTCATATCGGACTACCCCATGCTTAACTTCATGCTTGCGACGTCCATCTATATACTGGTACGCAAGAGCACTTGCTCAACTCTTAAAACTGGGTGTGCTTCTGTTTGTAACAGGTATCGTACCGGCTGTTTGAGCTTACCAACACGCTCAAGAGCGCGTTCGTGCCCAACAAAGATAACAACCGGCTCTTCCTTATGGTCGTGTCTGGTGTTACCATTTTTTCGCTACTTTACGGTGTTTCTTACCTCCTCGTCAAGATACCATACATACTAGTAAGCTTTAGCTCGTCTATGGAACCAGGCTCACTCTTTTGTTCTCACAGGTTTAAGCGCAAAGCATCCAGCGATATGTTATGACGCGAAACGAGCAAAGTGAATGTGTACAGTACGAATTGGTCAAGTTATTCATTGAATAAGGACCCTTGAAAAAAAATAATCCAGTTTTGTAGGAGCAGCTCTGTAGTACAACAGTGATAAGCCCACATATGGTATGGGAAAAATCATATTGTTTAGCTTCTTTCGCCCTTGCCGTGAAATTTCTCCATTTCGTGTGCGTAAGCTCTCCACGTCGCTCGCACAGGAGACCTCTCCTTTATTTTAACGAGGAGACGCTGCCTGCCATCAATGTCCCAGAAAGAATGTAGCCTCCCCCCATTGGGACCACGCACAGCTTTTTTGAAAAGAGCCAGTGGTATATCCGTCCGTGTCACATGTTCGCTGAAAGGGCGGCCACGATCGCGCGGCGGTTCCGCAAAGCCGGCGCGCGTGACGGGTCACATGACGCGGGTGCCTGGCCATATGTGTACGGTGTCAGTGTACGACGCTGGCCTGGCCCAGCTTATGCCAGCCCGCCCACCAAACTCCATGTAGCTTTGGCATGTAAAAACAGTAAAAAGTGGTGGCAGCATAGTGGCGGTCCACGAATTACTTACATTTGCCACGGTAAAAAGGGTGAATTTGAGCATGAAGAGGGACCGGCCCAAAAAGCTGGGCCCAATGGCCACCACATTGTCGAGTCAGCAGCACGTGCCTCACGCGAAGTGGTCGGTCCATAGGACGGGCGCGCGCTTTGTACGGCGCACGTCAGACAGTCACGCCCCCGCCCACGTGGCCACTTTCACACCCGTGTGCCAGCCACAGGATGCCGTACAAGCGCCATTGTTAATCCGGCGTATTAGCGTTTGCGTGCGCTGATAAGCGAGGGCCACCCCTCGTGCACATGGCTCGCCTGTCAGCACCAGCGCCAAGCAAGATGCGGTGCTCTTCTTCTTGTTGCGCTCTCTCACGATTGCCGCATTGCCCTAATTTCGCACGCGGCCATGGCAGGCTTTGAGCGGGATCGCGAGCGAATTGGAGGGGCTAGGCGCAAGATCTGATCGATTCCGCGCCTAGATTTCGAGAAATGTGATGTCACAAGCTCCGGGAGCCGCCGGCGCGATCGAGATTGTGAAGAAGGAGCTGGATTTGCCGGCGCCTCCAGCGATCATGGCCGCGGCCGCGGGATCCTCTTACGCGACGGAGTTTGGATTAGGTTACGAGCAATTCGGGAGGCTCAGGCAGCCACAAGGTGAGGAAATTTCCTCCCTCCGACTTCTTGTTCTTTGGCGCTGGATGAATTTTCTCGTTTTGAAGGTGCCCCCGGTGGATTTGCCCCGGATTCCTGCAAGAAGATTGCTCCGGCTCCCTCTCCACGGTTTTTGCAAGTGCCAGCTTATGAGCAAGGTCCCAGTAGAGGTATGGCAGTAAGTTTCATTGATTGGAACAAGACTGGCTATTCTTTTCTCTACAGGGGCATTTGGTTCTCTCGCAACGCAAGACTTTCTACAGCCGTTAGAAAGAGGAGCAAACGGAAATGTAGCTGCCAAGGTCCCAGCACCAGTTGCGAATGGTGACATCCCACTTCAGCTGTCTTCCAGGAGCGAACGAAACGAGCAAGTGGTTCTTGATTCTTCTCCTGCCAAAGGTACTATAATCCATTATATATCCATCCTCGATTGTCTTGCCTTGTTTTAACTTGTTTTTCGTTTGATCCCAAGAAAGCTGTTCATCACGAATGCATCTCCAAATGCAGTATGGATTTATCGATCATCCGCATCCGCTGTTCCCAAAAAATGGATTGGAAGCGAACCACCACGGAGCCGTGGGTGTAAGCAGGTACTAAACAAAGGATTGACAGCTCTATAAGCGTGGCATTCATGTAGAGTGTTTTATAACTAGGCACTGGCAGCAGGGCCATGTGAGCAGCGCAAACAAACGACCCAGGTCCGCTCAATCGGAGGGCGACGACAACGATAGCGAGGAAAGGAAAAAGATTCACAGGGGAGAGGCAGCGAGCAGGGGTACGTTTTTGAGCAAACTTTTCTCAGTTTTCTACATCCTTGTCTGTTCGGCAGAAGATATAAATTCCAGGAGCATCGACGTGAAAAGCAACACATCCAGGTCCAAGCACTCTGCCACCGAGCAAAGGCGACGCAGCAAAATAAATGACAGGTTGAGAAGCACTCACTTTGTGTAAGTTACGTCCCTGACAAGTGGAGCTGGTTTTTCAGGTTTCAAATGCTTCGCGATTTGCTGCCCCACGGAGATCAAAAGAGGGACAAGGCCTCTTTTCTGTTGGAGGTAGCGGTTCCCTTTCAAACCTTTTTTTTATATGCGTTAGATGTACCAAACTCCTCGCGCAGGTGATAGAGTACGTACAGTCTTTGCAAGAAAGAGTAAAGAAGTTTGAGGCGTCGGAGAAAGGAAGATATCAGGAGAGGTTGAAGCCTGTGCCATGGGATGTTAAGTCGGTACGGTGGACCTTTGCTTTGATCTTGTGACGTTTGTAACCTCCATAATTTTTTATTTTGTTTCCAGAGCACAAGCTTGAAAGAAGTCCCCGACAGTAGCAGGGATAAGTGTGCGTTGCTCGAGGACGGGAAATCTAGATCCTTTGGAGCAACGACTAGTCGAGCTATGGGAAGACAAGTTGCCCAAGCTCCATCACGACCAGCCATGTCTCCGTTAGCTTCTACGAGCACACCGGCTGTGGAGAACTTAGACGCGACAACCACGAGAGACAAAACAGGAGAAAGGTCTTCCGAGTCACAGCGACAAGCAAACGATGCCTCGAGACAATCCACTCCTGTGGAAACGGCAACAGCGCAACAGCAACAAGGGTCTAGCAACGAGCTTCCCATCAAGCAGGGACTAATCAGTTTGTCGACCGCGTATTCTCAGGGGTAAGAAACTCCGAGCTCGCTCGCTCGTTTTCTTTTGCTTTCTTGGTGACTTTTATATCGATCTTTCCATGTTTTTATAGGCTGCTCGAAGCTCTCACAAGCGCATTGCACAGCAGTGGACTGGATCTATCCAAAGCCAACATTTCCGTCCAGATCGAGCTCGGCAAGCCCCAAGAAAAAAAGGCAAGTTTGTGCTCGCAGCTTTAGACTCTTGTGTGTAACTTTGCTCAAACTTTCCAGGCATAGATAGGTGGCAAAAACAAAGAAACACAAACCATTGACAACGATTTACATTTTCTTCTTGTACAATCTGAGTGAGCGATGTTTTAGAAAGGAAAAATTTTATATCCAAGCTTGCGCAAAACGCCATAATCACAAACGTTTGTTTAGTGGTGAGACATGTGATCCTTCGATGCTTTTGTCTTACACGCGCCTTTAGCTTCACATGGGGCGGTCACGGGTTCGATTCCAAACTATTGCCAAAGTTTATATAATGTGTAGAGAATGCGTCTGCCGGCTGAAAGCATGGGAAGCTCCCTAGGGCTTTTGAGCGTCCTTGGAGCGGTGCGTTGCGGCGATCGCAAGCGCTAATAGCGGATTTCTTCCAATGAGCGAGAGCTCTGGCGGCATTTTGCTGGATCGGTGAGAAATTATGCGCGCCTTCGGCCGGATTGGAGGCGCACACCGGGATGAGAGTAGAAATGGCTCGGAATCTCTGGGGAGTGGCAAGAACGCTCGCGCGCGAGCTCAGGTCGAGATATTTCTTTGAGTGTTGCGAGGAGTTTTTGGAATTTTTTTCTTTGTTGCTTGCTTGTAGGAGAGACAGGCATCGCAGCGTTTGAAGCCGGAGAGATGGAAATCGGCGTTCGACAAGGATGGAAAGGTCGTTGGCTTCTCCAAAGTTTTGAAGCTCATTAGATTGGGGGTAAGCTCTTTGATGATAATCTAGCAAATAAATGCTGGAAATTGATGCTTGGTGTCAAAGCAGGGAGTGGATAATTCGATCAGATGCGAAGTCTGGGAGTTTTTGCTGGGATCTTATGGTGTGGGAACGACATGGGATCACCGTATGGAAACTCGTATCGCACGCAGGTTCGTTCATGTTAGTGTTTTTTCGTGAATGGAAAGTTCTTAAGAAGTGCGATCTGTAGGAAACGATACAAGGAGTTGATCGAGAAATGCCGGACGATGCATGTCAGTATCGGGACAGGAACTCTCGCCTACAATGTTGGATCCAAGATCATGGATGCTCGGACATCAAGGCAAGGTGCTCCTGAGCAGATCACTGTAGACTCTACGCATTACGAGACAAAAGGAAACAGCACCAGTGCCGATGCGTCGCTCAGTTCAGGAACTGGTATGGAGTCTTACGAGATGAACGCCGGGTCAAAAGCTGGAGGCCTGCCACTCAAGACACTGCTGCTCCACGCTGACAACGAACCTTCTAACTCGGATCACTCTCCCGGCCGTATTGGTCCCAACAGTCCAAACGTTTTGCATTTCAAGTTTTTCCATCAGAGTCCGATAGAGGTTGGGAGAAGCTCCACAAGGATTTGGACCAACAGGGACAGACATGAAAACTTCAGCAGGGTGAAGAGAGCTCTGGATACAGGAAGGAACATCTCTGGTGGGCCTGCTGGGATGCTATCACCAAATTCAGTTCCATTTCAAAGGGCTGCTGCCACCGAAGAGCGCACCGCGGAGTGGCTGTGGACGTTGCATAAAATAGGTGAAGCCACGAATCCAGTCTGTTTGTAAGTGACCACTTCCTCTTCCACACAAGAGTCACTTCATGTGATGGTCTTGCAGTGATCGACGTCGTGAGAACTGATCGCCACTTGGAGTTCTACGATGACTCGAGAAACATGGCGCGCATGTCTGATATCCTGGCCATCTACGCGTGGATTGATCCTGAAACTGGCTACTGCCAAGGTGCATTTTCTCATATCTGCCGTTCTGATAGCTTTCACGTAGCTTAATTTCCAAGTTTTCTTTCAGGAATGAGCGACTTGCTCTCACCTTTTGTGATTCTCTTCGAGGATGATGCAGACGCGTTTTGGTGCTTTGAGAGCCTCCTGAGGAGAATGGTATGGTTTGCTTGTTTTTCTTAACAAGTTAAGCTAATCTAGAAATTGACAGCGACAAAACTTCCAAATGGAGGGGCCAACGGGTGTGATGCGGCAACTAGAAGCCCTGCCCAAAATCTTAGAGCTGATCGACGCACGCGTCTTCCGGCATTTGACTCTTATCGGGGCAGACAATTTTCTATTTGCCTTCCGTATGCTGCTGCTTCATTTTCGACGTGAGCTTTCTTTCGAAGAAACGCTTTGCATGTGGGAGGTACGTTGACTGCGAACACTTTTTAAGAGTCCATCTCAAGTCTTTCTTTTTTCTTTTTTTCCTTCAGATGATGTGGGCTGCTGATTTCGACCATGCCATGCTATGGTCATTTGAGAGCGAGCCTCTAGAACCTCTCCAAATCAAGCCACCGTCAAGATCACTGCTGGAAAGGATCCAGGAAGACGACTGCATGGACTACTACTGGACGAAAATCTCGCCGTTCACAAGTCCCCTGCCAGCCTCGGAGGATCCACTCTCGCAGAGCAGCAAGATCACCTACGAATCCAAGAGTCCGCTCTGCGGGCTCGTAACTTCGTGGCCAAACTTTGGCCGTCACAGGATACGCTCCGGGATGAGCTTTGGGAGGAACGGGGACAGTGAGATCTCCGTGTTTGTGGTCGCTGCCATCGTTGTTATCAACCGCGAGAAGTTCCTCAAGGAAGCACGCTCCATGGATGACGTGATCAAGGTGACAATGCTGCTCAAACTCTTTCCTCTTGACAATCGTTTGATGGTTTTCTTCCCCGTGCTAGATGTTTAACGAGATCCAGCTCAAGATCCAAGTGCGCTCGTGCGTTCGAGCAGCGATGAAAATGCGAACCAAGTACCACCAACAGGTTTGTTCGATTAGATCTTTTCTCTTTTTTTTTTGTTTTTCTTTTCTTTTGTCCTTCCGGGGATCTCGTTCAGTTTGATCCTTCTCACAGTGTTTTTAATTGTCGTATAGCTCTCCAAGCGAGGAACAGGAAAGGCAAAAAGAGCCTCTTATAAAATGTAACAAAGAAAACTATAGTGTTTTGTTGGACAGAGAATTTGTTAGGGCTTTAAGAAAGAATGAGACGAGTGAATCTCTGGCGCGGCGCGCTTGGCCGATCGCCATGCCGCTGCCGATCGATGTCCTCCACCGCCGCCCGGTAAGAATCTCTGTAGCTCGTCGCCGCATTGCGCCCGATCGACCGATCCATCGATCGCCTCGTTGTTCTATCTAGGGCTCCCGGCGAGAGAGATAGCAGCAGAGTGGAGCAAATCGCGTGGATTGGAGGCGGGGTTCTCATCTATGGCGCTACCGCAGCGCTGGCTTTCAGCATTCTCGACGATGTTCTCATCTACAAGAAATGCAGCAGGTTTTTTGGAGGAATGGGAATTCCTCTCTTCCTTTTCTCTTTCTTGGCTGAGATCTTTGTGTGTGTTCCCTGTGTAGCAAGGCAATGGAAGTAGCGGCGGAAGATCCACGGATGAAGAGCTTCCTTGGCGAGGGATTCAAGCAAGGCTCGTGGTATGAGGCCTCGCTTGGCTCCGCCCTTCAAAAACAGGCCGTGTCGTGCACATTTCCAGTATATGGCGATCATGGATCGCTTGGCAGCGTCAAGTTGAGAGCTGTTCGTGAAGGTAAGTATCTCTTGGCCGCGATTCGTGCCTTGATTTCTTTGTTGCGCTCGAATTTTCTAGATCTTCTTGTCCTTGTAAACTTGTGATTTGATTGTCTAGAATCTCTTTTGCTTTGATGCTAAAACTCGATAGCTTTCTCGAGATCATAGTTTGCTCGAGGATTTTTTATCTACTCTTCTTCTTCCATGAATCCTACTTCATGTTCGTGATTTCTTTTCGCAGTTTTGCTGCGTGAGAACTTCTTTTTCTCTCGGGATTTTAGGATCTCTTTTCCTGACAGTGTTCGGATCTTTGATAAAATTTGATAGCTTTCGTGTGTGTGAGTTGATCTACTCTTCGTCTTCCATGCTTGCTTGATGCTACTTCATGCTCGCGATGCTTGGTTTTTTAAAAAAGTCTCGCAGTTTTGACGGTACTCTCTCATTTCTTTCCAGGGAACAGCATCAGTTCTTTGGCTTACAACATCATTGGGCCCGCGCAGTGGGATTTGCTCATCCTGGAAGCCACGCTCCACTCCGCCGACAAAAAGACAACCGATAGAATCAATCTCATGGAGCCCTCTTGGGACAGTAGAGATGGCCGCAAAGCAGCCATCGCCAACGGGCACCAGGATTATGTCAACAAGCTCCTGGCCAAGAACTAGAAATGCGATTGATTGATACGACGATAAAAGCAAAGTTTCTAGCAATTTATGTGAAACGCTTCATGTCAAGGTACCGGATTTTCAGTAGTGTCCATTCTTTCTAGTACCTTGATCTCTCTAGTACCTTGAGCTGTGTCTCTGCCTGTTCCGGCGTTTTTCCCTGGATTCCCTCTCGGCCGCCTTGCGAGTCTGCGCCACAAAGAGTTTTAGGTCCAATGGAAACGAGTGTGGACGCTTACCAAGATGTAGAGAACGCGAACGAAAATGCCAACGAAGTCCACGAACAGATCCAGTGCGTGTTTGATGTGATCCATGTCACCCCTCTCAGCTCTCTCGATGATAAGTTGTGTGTCGAAGATCACGTAGCCAACGACGAGTAGAAGGCCACCATACAGCTGCGAAAGAGAGCATGAATCAGTCGAGGCAATCGATTGACAAGGAGTGTTTACCTCTACTTCGAACATGAGAGCGGCTCCACCAAAGAAGCTCGAGAGGACGTGTAGCGTGAGCATGGACGATGTGGCGGACGCGAGAATTCCACCCAAGAACATGAACTCCCGTCGCTTAGCAAGGAGAGCGGCACCAGAGAACGATGCGAAAACAGCCACTGTGGCCACAAAAGCCGTCACAAGGATGCTGCGAGAGAAATCCAACCATGAATCTCGAAGACAAAAGGAAAAGAGGGATTTTTGGGCCTACCTGGGATCAAATTCAATCACGGCCCCGACGAAGTTTCCAAGGGATGCTCCCTCGCAAAACGCTGCTGCCATCAGCCAATTCCATCTTTTCCCCTGAGAAGCATCGATCAGCATAAAAGTAAAACGATTTGAGCTCCAGGATCCTTGTCTAACCTGTGCCGCGTAGCTCGAGGACGTGTTCATGAGGGCAAAACTACACCCCAAGAAGCCAAACGTGGTGAGTAATCCACCGATATTGAGCAGCATATGGGCATAGACACCCACGGCCGACACGATGAGCGCCATCGCCACAGTCCAGTAAACCTACGCAAGAAAGATCGATCGATTCAACAATTTCCAGCAAGAACAGAGGGGAATTCCTACCTGGCGGACATGGCGCTTGACTGGCTCCGAGATGCGATGGAAATTCTTCATCGCGCCGTAGTTCCAGGAAGACGATCGCTCAAAGAAATCCATGACGGAGACACCAAACCCTACTCGACAATCACAAAATAGGATCTAGGGCATGCGCGCCCTTTCCAAAAGATAAATAAGCATATTCCCCTCCCTTTCATGCAATGGTGAATATTCGCATACGGCTTATCTAAAGCCCTAGAAAAGCAATGTGCTGTGCCCGGTAGCGAAGAGCTGCACGGCGTCGTGCGATCCGAGGTAAGCGCGCTGTGGAGCTGGAATCTATGGCGGCGGAGATGCTAGCTCCGAGATTTCGAGGTATCGATGCGCCTGCATTCTCGGATTTCACCGAGAATCGGCTCAAGCACGCAGCGGCGGGGTGTAGGGATTGGAATAGCCGTCGATCGCACAGAGGGCTTGCTGTGAGAGCCAGCGGTAGCGGCGCCTGGCATTGGAATCCATCGCAGTATCGCCACGCGAGGAAGAAATGGGAGGCCCGGTCTGTGGAACAGGAGGTCGAGTCACTCCCATTCATCGAATGGTCCAAGAAAGGCAATGTTTGCAAGGGGAAGAAGAGGACAGACCTCAAGAAGATTCTCATCCTTGGCGCTGGTCCCATTGTCATTGGTCAGGCTTGCGAGTTTGACTACTCTGGGACTCAGGCATGCAAGGCCTTGAAAGAAGAAGGCTACGAAGTGGTGCTTATCAACTCCAACCCTGCTACGATCATGACGGATCCGGATCTCGCGGACCGGACTTACATCGCTCCCATGACTCCGGAGCTCGTGGAGCAAGTCATCGCGAAGGAGAGGCCGGATGCGGTCTTGCCGACGATGGGCGGACAGACGGCTTTGAATCTGGCTGTTGCTCTGGCGGAGAGTGGAGCTCTGGACAAGTATGGAGTGGAGCTCATCGGTGCCAAGCTCGATGCGATCAAAAAGGCCGAGGACAGGGATCTCTTCCGGCAAGCCATGCAGAAGATTGGAGTGAAGACGCCACCTTCGGGTATCGCCACCACTCTGGAGGAGTGCTTCCAGATAGCCGAGACGATTGGAGAGTTTCCTTTGATCATCCGCCCTGCGTTTACTCTTGGAGGCACTGGGGGAGGGATTGCGTACAACAGGGAGGAGCTCGAAACTATCTGTAAGGCTGGGTTGACCGCAAGCATCACTTCGCAGGTCTTGGTTGAGAAGTCCTTGCTGGGCTGGAAGGAATACGAACTAGAAGTGATGAGGGACCTCGCTGACAACGTTGTCATCATCTGCTCGATCGAGAACATCGATCCCATGGGTGTTCACACTGGGGACTCCATCACTGTAGCGCCAGCGCAGACATTGACAGATAAAGAGTATCAGAGGCTGCGGGACCAGGCTATAGCAATCATCCGAGAGATTGGAGTTGAATGCGGTGGCTCCAACGTGCAGTTTGCTATAAATCCCGAGGATGGAGAGGTGATGGTTATCGAGATGAATCCCCGTGTCTCGAGGTCGTCTGCTCTGGCTTCAAAGGCAACTGGTTTTCCTATCGCTAAAATGGCAGCCAAGCTGTCGGTGGGCTACACTCTGGACCAGATTCCCAACGACATCACCAGGAAGACGCCTGCTAGTTTTGAGCCATCCATTGACTACGTGGTGACAAAGGTCAGCTTTTTTTGCGCTTTTTTTTTCTCCTGCTTCTTTTAAAACACTTTCGTTTTCTTTGTATGTGTGCAGATTCCACGTTTCGCTTTTGAAAAGTTTCCGGGCTCCCAGGCCATACTTACCACTCAAATGAAGTCTGTTGGTGAGGCCATGGCGATTGGGCGGACATTCCAGGAATCGTTCCAGAAAGCCGTGCGTTCTCTAGAAACCGGTCACTCGGGATGGGGTTGCGAAGATAGCAAAGAGCTCAAGTGGGATATTGAGGAGCTGAAGTATAAGTTGCGAGTACCCAACCCGGACAGGATGTATGCCGTCTACGCAGCTATGAAGAGGGGAATGAGCGCGGAAGAAATTCACGAGCTCACTTTTATCGATCCGTGGTTCCTAGGAGAGCTCAAGGAGTTGTTTGGGGTGGAGGAGTTTCTGTCCAACACAAAACTGACAGAGCTGAGTAAGGACGACATGTACGAGATTAAGCGACGGGGTTTCAGCGATAGACAAGTTGCTTATGCGACCAAAAGCGCCGAAGCGGAGGTTCGAGCTCATAGGATCGCTCTCGGGGTGGTGCCAGCATTTAAGCGTGTGGACACTTGTGCTGCAGAGTTCGAAGCCAAGACACCTTACATGTACTCATCCTACGACGATGAGTGCGAGGCTAACTCGGGCAGCAAGAGAAAGGTATTGATCCTTGGCGGCGGTCCCAATCGCATCGGACAAGGCATTGAATTCGACTACTGCTGCTGCCATGCGTCCTTTGTGCTCCGGGTATGTATGAGCTCTTCCTTTTTTCTATTTTCTTCTTACCTTGTATCGGTTCCAGGAAGCGGGATTCGAGACAATAATGATGAACTCAAATCCGGAAACCGTGTCAACGGACTACGATACGAGCGATCGTCTGTATTTCGAACCACTAACAACAGAGGACGTGCTAAATATCATTGATCTGGAGAAGCCGGACGGAATTATTGTCCAGTTTGGTGGACAGACGCCTCTGAAGCTGGCCGTGCCTATACAGAACTATCTGGACGACTTCAAACCGTTGTCAGCCAGTGGTGACGGCTACGTGAAGATATGGGGGACGTCTCCAGATTCTATTGACGCGTCCGAGGACAGGAAGAGGTTCGAGAGCATACTAAACCAGCTCGGGATCAAGCAGCCTCCGGGTGGCATCGCTCGTAGTGAAGAAGACGCACTGGCTATTGCAAAGAGAGTTGGCTTCCCGGTCGTTGTGCGTCCATCCTATGTTCTTGGTGGACGGGCCATGGAGATCGTTTACAGCAACGACAAGCTCAAGAAGTACCTGGAGACTGCGGTCGAAGTCGATCCGGGCAGACCAGTGCTGGTGGACAAGTATCTCACAGACTCCTCCGAGATCGATGTGGACTGCCTGGCGGATGGAAACGGGGGCGTGGTTATAGGAGGGATCATGGAGCACATCGAGCAGGCTGGAGTCCATTCCGGGGACTCTGCTTGCTCGATTCCGACGCAAACCATTCCAGCGGTTGCTTTAGCGACGATACGAGACGCTACCACCAAGCTTGCCAAGAAGCTCAACGTTTGCGGGCTGATGAACTGCCAGTTTGCCATCACGCAGTCTGGAGAAGTTTACATCATCGAGGCGAATCCACGAGCGTCACGAACCGTGCCGTTCGTTTCCAAGGCGATTGGACATCCGCTGGCCAAGTACGCTGCTCTGGTCATGTCCGGGAAGAGCTTGGGCGATCTCGGCTTCAGCCAGGAAGTGATACCGGCGCACGTCTCCGTGAAAGAGGCGGTGCTTCCCTTCGACAAGTTCCAGGGCTGCGACGTTCTACTCGGCCCGGAGATGAGAAGCACGGGTGAAGTCATGGGAATCGACTACAGCTTCGACAAGGCATTTGGAAAGTCGCAGATCGCCGCCAACCAGAAGCTCCCGCTGCAAGGCACGGTGTTCATCAGCTTGAACGACCAGACCAAGGCCCAGGCGGTCCCAATCGCGCGAGGCTTCCACGCGCTGGGATTCAACATCGTGTCGACGAGCGGCACCGCAAAGTTTCTCGAGGAGCAGGGGATCCCGGTGGAGCGAGTGCTGAAGCTGCACGAAGGGAGGCCTCACGCGGGCGATCTGGTGGCGAATGGACAGATCCAGCTGATGATCATCACGAGCTCGGGTGACGCTCTGGACGAGAAGGATGGGAGGCAGCTGAGGAGATCGGCGCTGGCGTACAAGGTTCCAATCGTCACCACCATCGCGGGTGGACTGGCGAATCTCCAGGCGGTGAAGAGCTTGAAGGAGTGTCCCGTGGAGATGCTGGCCCTCCAGGACTTTTTCAAGGCGGACAAGGTGGTAGCCGAGATTGCGAGTGTGGTGGTGTGAAAAAAAAAAAGATGCGTGCTCCTCTCCTCGAGTGTTTTTGTGTGATGTTTCATCAATAAACGAGGCTTGCGACTGATACCACCAAAGGTGAGCACCATTTCCCTGGAACATGATCTCACATTTTCCTGTGTAGGCCGGTCCTTGTTTCTCTTCGTGGTGGAGCTCGAGCACGATTGACGCTACCACTCAAGCTACAAAGGTGAGCACCAGTTTTGTGCATTCCATGATCCCACAGTTTGCTGTGTAGGCTGCTGCTGCTTCCTCTTCTTATTGTTGCATACCGCGTTTTCGTTCCTGGCCACACAGCACGCAGCTTCTCGTCCCAAGTGAGGCGAGAGGGTGACGTTCACAATTCTGGGACATGACAAGCACAGCGGCAGACTTTTCAGTTCGAGCAGTTGCAGGCGAGCTAGTAGCACGGCAGCAGATCTTTTGGAGTGGAGCAATCACAGCAGGCATTCAGCAAGCAGGCGGCGAGGTTTCTGGAACCATGCATAGATTGAATTCAAAGACAAACTGATTCTTTTCTTGGTCCCGAAATTACCAGGCCGCGCAAGTGGATCAATCACTGGAGCTCTTTCACGCCATGATCTCGGCTCGTCACCTTTGTGAGCATTCTCTCGTGCCGCAAATTTCTTATCCCAGTTGGCACCTTCTCAAGAACCCTTGCATGATGTTAACTAGATCCACGAGGAGCACATCACCCTCCTCGCATGGGTCCTGGAAACTGAAGCCCTGCCTACTGCACAAAATATACACCTTCTTCCTTCCTTCTACGTACTTGGCAGGTGAATTTGCAGCTCTAGCCCACTTGGCCGCTTCGTCCCGACTCACGCGGCCTTCCTGTCCCTTGAACTGGAACCAGAACTCGTACACCTTCCCGTCCACACCAATCAAGAACACTCTCCCATCCTGAATGAATGCTGTCCCCTTTTTGCACTTGAACACGAAACCAGCGCCCGTGGGTTGTGCCTCAGTTGGGTGCACATAGGGTCTACTGTCCTCCCCAATCATTTGTTTATCACCTGGGCTATAAAACCTTTCCAACTGCAGATTATAAAACTGATACTTCTCTTCAACCACTCCGTCACCCGGAGCCGCAACCACAACTCTGGTGTT